GTTTTTTTTTTTTTTTTTTTTTTTTTTTTTTTTTTTTAAGGGATTCTGCTGAACATGGCTCTCTATCAAAATAATAAAAAAGCTTTCTTTCTCAAAAAATCTCTACGACGCCGTTTGCTGTCACAGTATTGAAATTAAATGGATTTCACCTGCGGATTTTATAGCCCGAAGTTGGCGGGAATCATCATTAGCGACACCCACACGCCATAGCATGCACATGCAACACTTGCACATACACACACCAATGATAAAATCATTAGCGGCGCGCACAAACCAAGCCCATGCGATCATGCGTTTTTGCAGTATTTCGTGCTGTAGCAAGATGCATGGAATTACAGTAGGTAGAAATTGTGATATGCTGGTCCTCGAAATTCAGGAAGTTAATTGTACGACTACCATGCAGAACTTGGAAAGGGAATATTCTGTTAAAGTTTCAACTTTCCTGGTTCTCGAGTTAGCGATTTTCCACCAAAAACTTTCAAAAGGCCGTACCTGAGTTCCACGCGTGATAGGGGGCTGAATTTGAAATCTTTTAGTTGTAAGTGGGCTGGAAACATCCCCTAAAAATTTTAGCTTCCTAGCGTTTCTGGTTCCCGGGCTAGCGTTTTTCCCGCTAAAGCTTTCACGTAGTCGTACACGGCCCAGTCGTGCGTGATAGTTGGTATCGCGTCCTGGGGTGGCACTTGGCTGGAGAACCCCCTGGCAAAGTTTTGGCGCCGGAGCTTGCTTGGCTGCCGAGTTGAAATACCCGAACAGGCGCACACACACACACACACACACACACACACACACACGCAAACACACACAGACACACGCACTGGGATCGTCACAGTATGCGCTTTTGCTCGCTGTACCAGCGCTATAGTGCTGCACAGCAAAACCGCATAACTATAGCTCTAACAATTTCTCGATTTCTTTGCGGAAATTCCATATCAAGAGTAGCTAGTACATTTGGGATAGCCCGGAACAGGAGTGACCTTCATTATGCAAGAAACGTCCTTTCTATGTGTTTTATGCAAACGCAACGTAGGCTGCAACGTACTGGCCTGTTGGTGCGATCTTGTCTTTTGGCGCTAACCTGAAGTAGTCAGATCGTTAATGACACGAATGATTTCTGTGTAAGAGTTTGATATGTGGACTGATGTTGGCTGTGTTTTGGCCTTTCCTTGCATGTAGATGAAAAGGCCGTCGACCAGAACGCAAGTCGGGGCTCCGCATACGACCACGTGAAAGTTTTGGCGGGAAAATTGCTGACTCGGGAATAAGAAAAGCCAGAAAGCTCAGGGAAATTCAGGGAAATGTTCTCTGCCCATGACTAAAAGATTACAAATTCAGTTGCCTAGGACTGCCCGGGACTTGCGTACGGACTCGTGAAAATTTTGGCAGGAAAACTGCTAACTCAGGAACGAGAAAAGCTAGAAGGTTGAAACTTTTGGGCAATATTCAGTACTCATGTATAACTAAAGGACTTCAAATTCAGCCTCTTAGAACCGCCCAGTACTTCCGTACAGCCATGTGAAAATTTTGGTGGGAGAATTGCTAACTCGGGAACGAGAAAAGCTAAAAAGCTGAAATTTTAAGGCAGTGTTCCCAACTAATGTGCGACTAAGAGATTTCAAATTCAACTCTTCTAATGATGTCTTTTTCGCGCACCAACAACTTTCCATTTGTCGGATCACTAAAGCCGACATCTGCAAGTGACATGCCATATAACTGCACAATTATCTGAACTTCGAGGGCCAATATGTCACAAATTCTAGCTATCATGGTTTCTTATGATCTTTCTACACCGCGAAATAGTGCAAAAACGCATGATCACACCGATCCGCCTGCTGCATTCTAGCTTGGGTCTGCTTGAAGTTTTTCTGGTGAATGCTCACTCACTGAAAAAATGTAAATTTGAGGGAAATCGGAAGATGATTATGAAATCTGCAAAACGCACTCGAATTTGAGTTTGCGATAAAATTAAATATTTCACATACCCATCTCCAGGGAATCTAACCTCTAAACTGTATTAAGACCAAGCATGAAATTAGAATATCCCAGCGAAGTTTCAGCATCGTACATTAACCGGTAAGCGAAATAGCGACTTTGCCACAACTATATTTGAAGCCGCTTATGTCGTGACGCAACTGCAAATCAAAACTCAACTTAGATATATGATTTCCCATATGGGCGATAAAAACACTGACAAAATTTCAGCCACTGTTTTCCGGCAAGTTTTCGAGTTAGCACAGTACCAAGTTGCAAAAT